GTACCTGTAGTAATTTTATGGAAATCACTACAGGTATGTTTATTTCAAAGTCAGTGTTTCCAGCCCCTCACTTCCATATGCTCAAGGAAAACAGGGACTGACATTAAGGAGTGGGTAGAAGAAACTGGGGAGGAGGACAGAAGGCATGGGGGCTACCTGACCCCCCAGATTTATTTTTCATGCTGTAGGAGTGGGAGGGGGAGGAATTGAAGGCAAACTTTCAATAATTAGATTCCATACCTGGGAAATTAAAACACATATCCAAATTTTATATGTATCAGGGGTTTGTCTTGTAAATAGAAGATGATCCTAATTAAGTAAATGCAGTATTCTATTGTTTAAAAATGAATGAACATACCTTGTTAAAACTAAAGCTCTGTGTTGTTTTGATACTGGGTCTGACCATTTGGAAAAAATAAAATTTTTTACAAAATCTACCACTTTAATAATAAGCAGTGGGGAATAAATTTTGTCACTTAAAACTAGAAAAATAATGTAAGGGAGTCTGACAGTTGAAATATCCTCTCCAGTCAGCTATTTTAAATCAACCGACCAAACCTGCATTGTTTTCTTTAGGTGATACGTTCACATTTTTCATTTTTTTTTTTTTACCTGTCTGCATACCTTCACCTCTCCAGGCTTGGACCTGTCTAAGCCCGAATACTGATATATCAGCACAAGGTTGCTTTACAGACCTTAAAATAGCTAATCCCCACTTTCTGCCACTACTTCAATCATAGTGGCACTGCTAGACATGATGATTCTCTTTCTTCTTGTTACTGATGGTCCTTTAATTTAGTGTTACAAATACCCCCCATAGGCAGGGTCCAGTCTGCAGAGCCATATAATCTAGCCCCTGATGCTGGTCTCACATGGGGCCAGTCCAAGGACCCTTCTCCCCGCCCCCGGTCATGCTGTTTTCACTCCAGCCAATCCAGGACAGAGCTGCACACACAGCCCACTCCAGCTGTGATATCTGTAAAATTAGCTAGTTAATGTTGCCTAAGACATGTAGAAAATGTAGGGATAAAAGCCATGTTTTCAATGTAAAATAAGAGTTTTATTAAGTTGTTTATATACATAAAAGAACATAGTTGACTATAAAACTCTCCCACTGCTTTCTTTATATCACCAGTTTCCCAAGACTATAAGCTCTTGAGGGTAAGGACAGGTCATCTTATTTGTTATTATGGTGCCAGTGAGGTTGACAGGGGTGCCAATGCTTTATGGTATTAAATATTGAGCCATGAGATTCTTAAATTTCCACATATTTACTGCATGAACAGTTTGTCATCATTGTTTTCTTTTCTGCACAGAGGTAGATAACTTGTTCAAATTATCTGGACTATTTTGTGTAGCTATTATTGTAGGTGCAATAGGTAATATTTAGAAAGGAGGATCCTTTCTCTTGTCCAGCGGGAGTTAACAATTAAGGGCGTGTGTAGACATAACGGGGGCCCAAAATTGAAGCGGTTTTAAAAACACCGTTCCAATTTAGGGTCGATTAAGCCCCTGTGTTGTGCGCACACCCTGCTGACTTACCTGCCTCTCTGGTGGTGGGGAGGGGAGGGCAAGCTGCTGCTGGGTGGAGTGTTCCCTGGGCTGAGGAGGGGGCGGGGGCTGGTGCTTCCCTCTGCAGCAGCGGCGAGCCCCCTCCCCATAAGGTGCCACCCGCCCACAGGCACCCGGCTCAGGCAGTCCCAAGGCGGAACTGCAGTTGCTGAGGGAAGCACCAGGTCCTCGCGCAGCTCATGCATACAGGCAGGCTCCGAGGGGGTGGAAATCAGTCTTGCTGCTTTTCTTGAGCAGAGCCTACTTTCTTGGACTGCTGTCAGTGTGCCTGCAGGGCTTCCTGCAGCGTCCCTGAGCTTCACAGAACCTGGTGCTTCGCTCCGCGGCTGTAGGCACAGCAAACAACTCCTCCCCAAGTCGTTTAAGGCACATTATGCTACTAAATTTCCTACAGCGGCTGGAATTCATGCATAATACGCTGCCAAGGCATGCAAACACTGACACCATTGAAGTGGTGCAAAAGCATTTAGCCCACTTTAATGTGTCATGGGCACACGCCCCTCATTTCATCTACACATGGCCTAAGTGCAATAACTTAGGACAAGGCCTTACACTTAGCAGCAACTAGTCAGAGTAACTAACTGCAGTCACAAAAAAGGTACTATCCTCCCCTCATTTCCTGGCTTTTTTTGTTTCTGCATTTAATTCCACTCCCTTGAGTGACATGCACATGTCCATCTTTCTCATACTACCTCATCTTTGTGATAGTTGCTCAGCAGACAGTCTTTTAAAGATATAAGAGGATAATTCAAAGATAAAAATAATGTGGTTATGGGAAGTTTGGATAGGTGTTAGTGAAGTCAGACACGTCACAGTTTCTGGTGGTGAAAAAGAACTTCCTAAATATGAAAGTAGGACAGGGTAACTCATTCAAAGAGGAATGAGCTTTCATTGGCTACAGTCATTTACATACAAAACATAGGGAAATAGAAATGGAAGGGAAGGAGGGGGCACTGCTGAGAGAAGCAAAGGTAGATTGAAGAAATCAAAAAGGAATAAACAAAGTATTTAACTCAGTCATGTAGGGCGTCTAGCCTGAACACATCATTAATGACCTCCAACCTGTCCTGGAAAAGGGCTGACTATATCATGGCAGCCTTGGGAGGGGACAACAGGACAAAAAACCATCCACAGGCTAGATTGTTAAATGCGGTCTATTAGGGACGGTGGAATCTTACCTCCTTTACCTGGACTAGCTTTTATAGCCCCTATGTCCCCAAATGGGTTAACTGCTTTATTGATCCCTTTCGATCATGTCAACCCTTCACCTCTTCCAGTAATTCTTCTTTCTTTCCTCATCCTTTGTACGCTTTGTGTGACTGTGTGCAAGCATAAAACACGAATCTGGGAATTTACTCCTTTCTAACCCTCTCCACCCCCAGCATTTGTATCTGTGAGCAGGATAGGGAGGGGAAAGACACTCTTCCCACTTGCAGATAGGTGTGTAGGAGAATTCCTCTGAAGGAGATTTCTGTGTCTGTGCCTGTGAGTGTAGAGGGGGGAAATCCCACAGGGGTTCCTCACCCTCTGCTTGCAGATATGTGCACAGGAGAAGCCCTGCAGAGGGATGCTCCTCTGTATGTTACTGCTAAGTGGAAAACCCTCACTTGCAGACACGTGTCCTGAACCCAACTTTCTCCGCTTACCCAGGGACATGGCGGGACATATCTAGGTAAGTGGGGGAAATGAAAAGAGTGCTTTCAAGACTTGAGGGACCCGATCCTGCCTGGGAATTTCCAAGTTATGCAGAAATGGGCCCCGCAAGCCCACAGGGTCCGTGTCCTGGATGGTTGGAAAGCATGGGCAGGTTTGCGCTCCCCAAACACTTGTCATAAATAGACATGGGCCTCAATAAAGTTACTCAATTTAATACTACCTTCTGTTGCAGCTGCATATTTGAGCATTTGTGGTACGACAGAAGGTATGGACATGTATTTATTTCCACTTTGTGCAGCCATAAACATTTTTATGGTGGCACAAAGGTGACGTCTATTTCCATCCCTTGTTTGGACATGAGGGGGTGCTTCCAGATGAGTGCTCATCTGTGTTTCTATTGGGATAAACAGGAGTGGTACATAGTAGCAGGGCCTCTGCTACTTGTGCCTGGAGAACACTCATACACATGTACGCTGATGCACGGCAAGTTGCTCCAGGTTGGGTAAGGAAGCCTGGGGCCAGTACCTGAATTGGCCCCAGCAGCCTTACCTTGGGTCCTGGTGCTCCAACAGAGGTGATCTGGTGTATGGAGCCTGGCTGGCAGCCAGAGTTTGGCTCTGGCAGGCCAGGCTCCAGTTTAAGACAACAGAAGCTGCTGCCATATGTGCCATCCTGCTTTGTTCTTGTGCGGGTTTTTTGATACTGGGATCTCCTGCATGTGTGCTGCATGCAGTACGTGAGCGCTCATCTGGATGCGCCCTAGGAGTATGTAGTAAAATCCTTTTCCAATGCCACCCTCACATACAGAAAAGTTTTGTTGTAAGCCCTCAAAGATTAGAATTGTAGACTGTACATTTCAATGTGTTCAAATAGTTTTGAAACTTAATGTTAATTTGTAATGAACCAAATCTTCCTCTGTCACTTATATAAGGTAGAAAGAGAACATTTGAAATCAGTGAACAAGGAATATTCCTCTCTTGGCCGAGGAACTGGAGAGGAGTCAAAATCCTATATATTTTGCTCAGGACTTTTCATAATTTTTTTTTTTTTTGCTGCTGGTTTCAAGCTATCTGGCATGTCTTCAGCTGTCTTCAAGACCATCTGAATGCCATTGACAGATGTGTTGTCTTCTCAGGCAGAAGTTTCTTCTCTGGACAGTTTTCTAGAACTGCAGAAAGGGCAATTTGTCTTATTAAGACTAATGAAAATACTGCAGATTGCTGCTTTATGTCATTGGCGTGGAGAAATAAATGTGTCCTTTGAGTTCCCAGGCTGCTCTGCACCAGGAATGGCCTGGCCACATGCTGTGGCAAGCCATGTTATACATGAGTAGGTAATGAATATGCTGATGAACTGTGTTCTTGATCACTTGTTCCTTTTAGTCCCTGCCCCATTTGCCATCCAATGATGTTTGTGTACCATACTAAGCGTATTGCACCAAAAAATTAGTTTTGTTGCGAGTTGCTGTAATCTTGGTCTGTCTAATACTATGTGTGTGCAGTGAAGGATATGCACCATAACTTATTATTGTAATTTTAACAGCTAACTGCTGGATTGCAAAGTATTATTGGATGACATTGCCCATATTTGTTAGATTTTATTTTCTAGCTCACTGCTCCTATTAGTGGATGCTTTTACTCAAAACTATATACCTAGAAATAATGTTTACACAAGGAAATTATTCTCAGCAGGCTGGAAGTCTTGAAGTTATTTGTAATCCATGTGGTGCTATTTTTTTTTAAATAACCAACCTTTTCTGTTTGTTTTTTGAGGTTGGTGTGTTAGAGGAACAGTTACGAATGCATCTTCAGTGCTTCTTGAATCTGTGCAGTTTCTGGAACTTGAACTTATCTACTGTTACCATACTCTGGGAGTATTACAGCAAGAATCTGGTTAGTTGATGACTTTGAAAAAATTAAAGTTACAAGCATGCAGTCACTTATTTCAGGAAGCATGTTGTGCTTTCATCTGTCCAAACTATTTGTGAAATTTTGCTCTATTTTTGTAAAGCAAAATGCTAATCAGTGCTAGCTCAAAAGGGAACTAGACTACTTTGTAATTGGCAACCACATACTAAAAATATTTATTATTTTTGAAAGTGTGAGTTGTATCATGTGATATCATAATGGAAGAGATGGGCAAATGTTGACTTCCACAACCATTTATGCTCAGGCCAGAGAATATAAAGAAGCCTCTTGGTGATACATTGTGGGTAGCCACAAGATGCCTTCTGTTGTTCATGCTAAAGGTGGTAGCTTATGTGTAGAGAATTCACATGGTATTTTTTCTCCCTCACATTCTTTCTTGGTTTAATTTTTCTTTCAGAACAGTTCCTTCACCATTCCTTGGCTTGGTCTAAAAGGTTTAGCAAATGTTAATAAAACCCCTTTGTCAATGCTTGAGTTGGTGAAAAGTTGCTGTGGTGACCAGCAGTGCCCTGACCTATACAAGTCCAGCAATAGTTACCTCATTTTTCTCTGCATTTTGGCAAAAATATTGAAAAAAGCAATGGAGACCAGTGAAATGCACTTCTGGAAGCAAATGAAGGGAAGGTATAGTAATGTATTAACTTCTCACATGTCTCATAATTCTGATTATCTCAGATTTTCCACATCTGAAGCTTAATTCTTTGTGAGGTTTTGGGCTCTTGTTTCTTCATAAATGTTGAAATATATCAAAAAGGGTAAAGCAATAATTTATTTCACAAATAAGCATGAAAATAGCTATAAAACTATTTTATAGAGAAGAGCCCTAATGCTTTTTATAGTTATCTGATGTACCTATGCATTTTATAATACAATAATAAGAATACTTTTTCATACTTTCACTGAACATTAAAAATGCTATCTTTCTAATTACTTCAATTCAGCTACAAAAATCTAACCTTTAAGAAACTGGTTTTTTTCACTGGAGACTAAAATCTGCAGGTACCAAACTCTTAGAACAATTTAACTGCCCCCCCCCCCGGTAGTATTTATCTCATTTATTAAGATTTCATTAGCATGTAATATGTTTCATATAAGAGAAGAAAATTGGTTTGATGGTTATAATCTGAGGATGCACATATCACATTACAGTGGCCTCATACAGGCATTGTGTTTCTCGTGACAGAATCACTATTGTTCAGTGTTTCTAGTGTTTTAAGATTCAGTGAAGTTTGGATTTAAAAAATTTGTTTTATACATTCTTACATGTTGAAGTAAGCTGATATTGGATTGCTGAATCTATGTACTATTCCATTTTAATCAGTTTGTTTTTAATGAAAACATTATACCTGCATCTTTGTCATTTTATAGTTTGTTTTATTTATTTATTATTCCTTAAATTAAGAGGGGGAATATTAATACATAGTGTGTGGCAGTTCCCTCACCCAGAATTCATCATTTTTACCTTGAATAAATCAATTATACAAGTAACAAAATTTAACAGCCTACAGCTACAATTTTGGGATGAACTCTGTTTTCGGCAGCTTACCAAGCATTAATTGATGCATGGAAAACGTAAATGCCTGTCAGTAGTAATTTACTACTAAACAACCTTAATTGGATTTGCTATAATTTTTGGTGGCTAGCTTTGATAGCCTCAGCATTATTTCTAACTATTTTTTCCAGGTGATAGGTTAGGAAATCACTGCTTTGAGCTCTTTTAACTACTCTCTCTCTATATATATATGCAGTCTGAAATAGAAGATGAAGAGTACAGCATGCTCTTAATTGCCCCAAAACTAAAAAACTGGGACAAAGCATTCTCTAGCTACTTTTCCCTCGTATCTTAAGAAAAATAGTGTAAGTATTGTGAGATGCATGTATATTTGAAGTTATAAACAAGTGCTACCCCAAAGAACGCCTATGCCATAGGCGTAGCATTCTTAACATGAGTTACAAGATGCATAAATAGAGGTGATGAAAAGTAAAAATTGACCAAAGAAGTTCTCCTTTTTTGTCACTACTACATATTACTGGAACATCAGTTACATGGCTGTACCCCTTAAACTCCTATTTACACTTCTCTGTCAGACAAATGGGAGTTCTGACTGCCTTGGGGCTCTGCTGGTGCTTTCTCAGAAGGCTTTCCCAGTTTGTGTAGTTTGCAGATTTGGAGGTAGAGAATTTCAAAGGAAGAGGAGCCTCTGTCAAGAATATTCTGTCATCATCCTCTCTTCCCCCTTTTTTAAATCAAGGGTGACAGAACACAAGGGGCTCTGACACCAGTGGCAGTACAGCACAACACAAAGGTACTCTCTCAAGTGCAGAGATCCCAAACTGTTTTTTTTTGTGGGGGTCAAGGCAAATATGTTTAAGCTTCACTAGAAAACCATATGTAATACAGAACTCTAAGCACTAGTAACACATACTGCTGTTGATATGAGCTGCTTATCAAGAAGGTTACTGCCTTTGCATCAGATTAAGGTTGCTAGTGCTGTGTAAAAAAAAACCTGAAGGAAATCAGCAAAGACAAAGTATGGTTTCAGTAGTGTTAGTTTAAATCTCTCTCTTTCTTAGTTTTGTTTGTTTGGTTCGATTTTGTTGGAGGTTAGATGGTTGCAGAAATATAGTTAGATTTCATCTTTGGGTTGAGAATCCCTGGATTGGAAGAAAGATATGAAAATATTGGTTTCAATAGCCAGCAAGTTTTAAAAGAAGAATGAGCAAACTTGATTTAAAAATGGAAAAGCATTGCTTATAGTAAGAGCATGGTATGAAAGCAAAGGCATAAAATATGGCTTATTGCTGCACTTCAAGGAAACAAACAGAACTGCTTTTAAGAAACCTTTCTTTGTTGTTTTTTTTTATTTCATACATATATATGAACCTACATGCAGAATTTATTCCAAGTTCCATCAGAAAAGAATGCAAGAGCTGACAGAAGTGGGGCTGCAGAACTTTTTTAACCTTTCCCTTGTGCTGGCGACTATAGCAGGCACAGAAGATATTGTAGGTAGGGTGCTATCTCTCCTGAGTGTCCTTCGCCCATCCTCCATCAGCACTTCCCAGAAGGCTCTCATCTGGAGAGGCTATTTTGCCTTCCTTTTGTTATACATTGAGAAGAACTTGGATATTCATGTCCTTGCTGAGAAACTCTCAAATGCTTTCCGTGAAACAGCCAGGGAGTTCTTGGTAAATAAGAATGACTATACTCAGAAACGAAATCTCTGGATACTACTTTCCACTTATATTGATGGAGTCCAGGAAGTGTTTGAGACCAGCAGCTGCATACACCCTTCCCAGGAAAAGTTGCTGAATGATGGATTTAGTATGATGCTGCCAGCCTGTCGAGGAGCTGAACTCAATACTGTCCTGAACTTCCTTCAGGTTGTTCTGGCAAGGCTTGGGTAAGTTACAAATCATGAACAGAGGCTGCTGTCAAGTTTTGTATTTGTATTCGTGTTTAAAATATTAATTTTTCACTGAAATGGGACAAAAGGGAAGTGGTATTTCTGAAAAACTGTGAATTCCAAATTAAATGCTGAATTTCAGCTGCCAAACAGGCCACTGTTTTTATAATATCTTTCTCTATGTAGTAGATAATTGAAAGTATAAGGAGCCTGTTATGAAGCTCTTTGTTATGAATTAGTAGCCAGATCATTCCTTTGCCACCATCTTTGAAAGCATTGCGAGTAAAACCCACCTCCTCTGTGTATGGTACCCTTTTAAGATTATGATTTGAACTAAGCTACTGAGGTTGCATATATCTGCTCCAACTTTCCAGTCATGTGTTTTTTCACACTAGGCACTTGAATATAACAATGTGGTATACCAGTAAGGTCTCAGTTAAGTTAAGCACAAGACTGAAGTAGGAAGAGAAGAAAATGAGGAAATCACATTTTTATCGTTAATAATCAATTTACCTTGATATATTGGTGCAGTTTCCATCATTCAGACTTCCCTTCCTGCAATAAACCTCTTTCTGTCCACTAATTTACTTTGAAAGTAGTTGGCTATTTAAAGCCAAAACTACTTTCGGAGGGCTGAAAAGTATCTTTCCATGTGGGCCATCATGAGGTAGTTATTGATCTGCAGTTACTTGGAATTTGCGAGGTCTATATTTGTAAGGGACGGCACTAAGAACTGCACAGTATGAATAGTGAGAAAAAACTGACCTGTATGGAAGACTTCTGTTTAGCTGGGTACTTTGTTATTATTTAGATAGATATTATCACTGCAGCAGTCAATAGTGTGTAAATTCAAAGTTCAGTAGTTTTCAGGCAGCTTAGAAAGTGTATGATTTATTACATTGGAATAAATGAGAGATGTCAAAAGTATTTTCCATTTTAACCGGTAGGGAAAATGTCATCATTTTTGTGTGCTATTTTATAAGCATCATGAGGTTGGGAGAATTTTAGGTGTTGTAAAAAGTTGGCTATTGGACAACTTGATTGAGTTGGAGATTTCCAGGGATTGTGGGTCTCATACATAGTGCAGCTGTTAAAAAGGGGAGGGATTTTTTTTTTTTAAATCCTATGTTGTTAGTTTGGTCCTGGGAATAAAATCCATACCTCCTATTACCTACATTAATGATTTTTTGAACATAAGTAAAGTGGGATAAACCCCCATCCATATACAAGAGGAAAATAACACTAAAGGATGAAAAAATGTTCTACCAACATAGATTAGGAGCGTGAGTTGTGTTTACCCAACCTGATTTCCTTCTGTGACAAGGTGATGGGATCTGCAGATGTGAGGAGAGCAGGCAATGTGATATACTTTGACATAACTAAGGCTTTTGACATTGTGTCCGATGACATTCTTATTAATAGGCTAAGGAAATACAGTCTAGACAGAAGTGATATAACTAATTAGATCCTCATGCTCAAAGAGTAAACATCATTAGGGAACTAGGTTTTGTTTCTCTTTGAAAAACTGAAAAAAAATTGGATTTTCCCTTTTAACCAAGAAAATTGTGGATTTTTCATTTTAAATGGAGAAATACGTGGATTTTCCACTTCTGCAAAGAGCTTTCTGCAGGCTGGCAGAGTTCCAGCCTGCAAGAGGCTGAGGCGAGTGGAAGGGCAGGGGGTGTTTTGCCAGTGCACTGCAAAGCTGGCAGCAGGGGAGGGATCCCTGAGTTTGCAGCAGGCAGCCCACTTCTGCTACCTCCCCTCCAATAGATGTACCACCCAGGAGGGAGGGGAAGCCAGGCTCCATGTTCCACTCTGTCCCAGCAGCTGCCACCTCCCATGAGTTGCAGCCAGGGCTCGGGTGGGGAGCCAGGGGGCTCTAGATCTGGCTCCCTGGCCCCATAGCCCTAGCCCTGCCAGGGCTGATGGGGACGGGGGGCTGTGGGTAGGGAGTGAAGGGCACCAGCAGGGCCCCAGGGGGCTGTGGGTAGGGAATGAGGAGTACCAGCAGGGCTGGGGAGGCTGTAGGTAGGGAGTGAGGGGCCTAGACCCTCCTGGTGAGCTAATGGGGCAGGGGAAGCTCTGATTTTTCTAATGATAAAAACCCAAAATCAAATACCAAAATTTATAGGTACTTAGAATTTAATTTTATTATAGTGATTGAGGCACTGGTAGAGCTTCCAAATTGCTTTAAAATTGTAAATACATCAGTAAAACATTGGGGAATGGGGGTGCCAGATAACAAAATATGCTGGTTAATTGAGAGACCTGAACAGGTGTCTTTGCCTGTTTGGGCTTCCATTTCTCCTGCTGTGTCCAGGACATTGCCAACCCCCCAGCTTCATCGCCAACCCTCCCGTGGGCCCTGCACAAGCCTGCTATGCCCTGGGCCATGGGGGCTTGGCAGCACAGGCTGCTTTGCCCCAGGCTGTGGGGGCTTGGAGGAACTGGAAGTGCCGTGGTGGGCATGTCCAGTTTCACTTTACCATACAAGACAGCATGCCGCTTTATAGAACATGTTGGCTTGTAAGGTGCTGATTAATGGAGCTTTTAACGTATATAGATAATTGAACACAATGTTCTACTGATGTTACACTACATATATAGTGACGTTTCATTTTATTTGTGGATTTGGGGCTTTTTAATGAGAGAATTTGCTGCTGCTTTTTTTTTTTTTATTGAAGAATTTGCAATTTTTAAACAAGGAAAACCAGGATCCCTGGATACTAATGGCTGTTCTGAGTCTGTCCTGGGTCTGGTACTGTTCAATATCTTCATTAACAATGTGGAGGGTGGTATTGACTGCACACTTAGGAAATTTGCAAATGGCACTAAAGTAGCTAGAGTTTCATATACTTTGGAACTTGTCATTAGAATTCAGAAGAACTGTTTCTGGAGAAATGTTCTGAAATTAATTGAATGAAATTCAATAAGGACAAGTGCAAAGTCTTGTATTTGGGCTGAAAAAAAATCGAATGCACAAATGCAGATTGGGGATCAACTGGTTAGATTGCAGTACTGCAAAAAAGGATCGGGGTTATAGTAAAACATAAGCTCAGTCTGCATCAATTGTGTGTTTGTTGTTGCAAGAAGGGTCAGTAGTTACTATATTGTATTAAGATGCATGTTGCTTTAAAGTTAGAGGAAATGACTTTAATGTATTCAGCACTGGTGAGGCCTCACTGGAATAGTGGGTCCAATTATATGTGCCAAATTTAAAGATGAGAACAAAGCAGAAAGAGTCCAGTGGAGAAGAACAATAATCATTTTAAGCCTAGGAAAAATGACTATTACAGGGCACCATCCCCAGGGCAGTTGAGAACCCTTGGAGGCACTCTAGAGTCCCCTTTATTTCAGTTCACTTCTGAGAACAGTCTCCCCTTCATTCATCTGCCATGTCTTGATGCCCCTTTTGATTCTCAAAGAGTTGGCTACCCCAGGGCTTCCCAGATCTGGTCTTTGCTCCAAAGAACTTCCTATGTTGGAGAGCTCCTGCCTTAAGTGCTAATTGCAGGTCTTCATACCACCCCTACACTGTGCCCCATGCCACACAGGTATTACTCTCGTCACTGTTGGGGCTTCGACCTCCACAGCCTGTGCTCCTTTACTTTAGCTAAGCCATCTAGCCTAGGGCCACTGCATTGGGCCTGGTTTTGAGGCTCTAGCTCAGAGGTTCCCAACCATTGGGCCGCGGCCTGGTACCAGGCCATGAAGCGTTGGCTGTTGGGCTGCCGGCAGTCATGTGTGGGGTTAAAGCTGGGCAAGCCTGGGAGGGAGGCAGCTGGCTACGTGCGCCCCATCCTGATCCCGCTGCCATGGCTTCGCCCAGCCGTGCCAGCACAGCAGGTACCAGGGCCCATGGTGGGCTGGGCAGGACCCTTCAGCCCCACCCACGGCTGAGAGCGGGGGGATGCACATGGGGAAATGTCAGGGGTGGAGGGCAGGGATGTGGCTCCGCTGCTTGCTCCTAAAGAAGGCAGTGGGGCCCCTTCTGCCTGGGCAGCCCCAACTGGGTCTCCTGGGCAAACGCCTGCGCAGCCTGATCCCTTGCAAGGTCCCTTGGTGCCTGCAGCTGTGGTACCCCAACCCAATCAGATTCTCGCAACTGCCCTCCCCCCACATAAAAAATAAACGTAAATACATAAAATTAAATTTAAATATGCAGATTAAATTCAAATATGTTTTCTGGTCTACAGTAAAAAAAGGTTGGGAACCCCTGTTCTCTAGCCCACATTTACACCAGGCCCCTGGCCTCTGTCTGCTGGACCCCAGGCCTCTTGGTGGCTGCTGCCTGCCCCTCTCTCTCACCCACCCTGGGCTAGTAACAGCCTGCCCCTGGCATGGCTCAAAGCTATCACATGCCTCTCGGGCACTAATGGGACCTCCATAAACCTCCCCTTATAGTCCCAACCCAAACTGCTGGTTTTAAATTACAACATAAGCACTAATCCCCTGGGCTATAACAGAGAAAAATAATAGAGGCAGCATGCCTGCTTATCTCACGTCTCTTCCTCTTTGGGTTGCTGTCTTGTGTCCCGGCCTGCAAAGCTGTTTTCTAGTTTCCTGGGGCATTCAGGTGCCCCACGGTCTGCCACAGCCTGGGCTCTCTCCTAGTCGTGTGAATGCCGCCAGTCAGCTGACCGGCCTGCAGGGCTACCCTTTAACCTCTGCTCTGCTGGCAGGCTGTGCTCTGAAGACTCTAGCCTTAAAGGGGCTGCCCCACTTTTTAGTAACAGGGCTAGGGTTCCCTGTTACAATGACTTACAAGGAAAGGTTGGAAGAATTGGGATCATTTGGCACAGGGAAGTGAAGGCTGAGTAGGGGATTTGGTAACATTCTTCGAATACCTGAAGGGTGGTTATAACAATGATGAAGGTAGACTCTTCTCTGTTTCCTCAGGTAATAGGTCATGAAACAATGGTTTCAAATTGCAGTCAGAGAAATTTAGGTTGAATATTAGGAAAACTTTCTGACTATAAGGGTGGCTAAGCATT